TAATCGATTTTCTAAGTCAAAAGCTGACTTGACGTCCCACTTTGAGTCTAGATTCAAATTTGCTATTTTCCGGAGAGATTCTTTAACTTGCATCGGAATCTATCACTTAACGCGACTAGCCATAAAGTTGGCTGGGGAACGAATAGTTTACTTACAACGCTATGTATACTCTGATCTTTAAGAATGGTAGAAACTCAATAAAGTCGGTTACTTTTTGTCTTGAAGGATACACGTCCGTAGGGAAAAACAGTTTAGATTTTGGCCGACATGGAAATGCTTTCCTTAGAAATTCTGAAGTCGATCAGGCTTCATTGATTACACGTCGTACAAATAAACCCACTTGTTTAGATCCGACAAATTAAATTAAACTTGGGTGAGAACATTCATTGGGCTATTGTTTTGGCCAACGTTTGCAATTATTGAATATTGTGAGCTCCTGAAAATACACGGACAAACCATCGTTTGATTTATCCTGCGAGTCAGTTTCTTTCCGTGGTTGCAATTTTCAGTGTTACAAAATTATGTGGCTTATGTGGGTTGAAATTCCTGCTCTTATTATGAGTAAGAAATAACTCGCCAAGGTGTAAACTAGGGGCAAAAACGGTTATCCGACTTCAATGACATTCCTATGATTAGAGTAGAAAGTTATATAGAATGAAAACGCAAAACGTACGCGATCAGTTAACATAGATGTAGGGACATACATAATTTCTTTTCCGGATTTACACTTGACGCTGCGCTATTTCGACGCACACATAAAATAAAAATCATGCAGGATTAAAGCTTTAACATGTGCAATTGGCCATGCCGAAAGTGCCTGTCGTGACCTCGAAAGCTCTCTTTCAAAAGCAACATTCCCAGCTTACTCTTCGCCCTCAATTCAAAGTTTAACGTTTTAAACGCAGCACTTAAGCCTAATGAAGACTGACTGCTTTTATCTCCACGTTAGATTGTTGCTTTGCATGAAAAATGACTCATCTTTTAATTTTCGTTCTCAATTCGAAGTTATGTGCCGCTTACTTTGAACCGAAAATTTTAGGATAAGGAAAATTGTTTGCAGCCAAACACCCTCCAGTGGGTAATTTATGCATAGACGTTTGGGGCTCCATTTAACTGTCAAATGAAGACTGACTACATTTTTCTCAATACTAGACCTTAGCTTTGTGTGCAAAATGACCCACCAGAAAACTCAGATCTTTGAAGACCAAATGGCGCTTATACACTGCGTTCCCCAATTAAGTAAGCTTCATATTGCCGGAAAGCTTACAGATTTGACCATAGAGGTATGTGTACTACATGAATCACTATTTTGCTTCTTATTTCAAGCTAGAAGACAGCCTGAAGGTGCGCGCACACAGGATTGTTTTGGCTTCTCGTGTGCCCTCATTGTGTAAGACACTCTGTGATGCGCCTACGAAAGGCCAGGCTGTGGTGCTCAAGTGGCCCACAGTTTCTTCAGAGTACTAGCTCATTTTACCTTACAAGTGCAGTTTAGAATTGCAACGACGTTTATCGATTATTTATACACAGGACAAGTTGAAGTCCACGAAGCGAATGTGGCTGGGCTGATTGTGCTGTCACAACAGCTCATAATGCCTCATGTGGAAGAATGGGTCGTGAATTATATGGCCGGCAGGTAAGCGCTTTCCCGTTATCATTAGCTGGCAGGCTGAATCATGAAAACATAGAAAATCGCTGGAATCTTTCACAGTTACTGAAAAGTGACCACTTGAGAAACGCCTGCCTGGAATACATGAAAAAGACATTTGAAGCCATAGCCGTGGGTGATTTATTCATACAGCTGCCATCTGATGCCGTCCTGTCTCTGTTGCGGGCAGATGACCTTCAGGTGGACAGCGAGGAGAGTCTCTTCAAGGCGATTGGAAGGTAGGTTAGTCCACTCGGTAAAGTGGATGAAGCACGAGTGGTTTACGCGGCAGCTATGATGAAGGAAATGCGGTGGCATGAAGTTGATGCCCGATTCCGATACCGGCTAGATGAAGAGGATGGCTTTTGGAATACAAATTTGGCATGCTTGTAAGCTGTCGGACAAAAGTTGTCATTGTGAACTTTTGAAGATGACTTCTAGGTCGAATAAACAAGTGGATTGACGCTCCATGCTCGAGGGGTGATAGACAATGTCCGTCCAATGAGAGACGCAGGGGGCAATTTGGTGGCTCAGCGGACAGTGACTTTCTATTGAATGCGCACCGCTCGAATCCTCTGGAAGAGATCTGTCTGCAGCGTACGTCCGCGAACGAAGAGCAATGTTTACTGACGAGGCACGATGCTGATACCCAGACGTCACAGAGGTGCAGAGGGCCATTGGGTGACTCAGCGGACAGTGACTGTCTGTTGAATGCGCACCGCTCGAATCCCCTGGAGAAAATCTGTCTGATATCCGCAAACGGAGATCAATGTTTACTGACCCTGTACGATGCCGACACAAACACGTCGCAGCAACTAATAGACACAACGACGAACGCGACCTTTGTGGCCATTGAGGGTAAGTCTTACGTACTCGAACTGCTAACAGCCTTACTACTGTTTTTATTTATTTCGAACGGTCGCGGCCATACTGTAATGGTTGTGTAACCGAATGAGCATTTTCTTTCCTCTCGTAACACATACTGATCAGGATATGGTCCAACGATTGCTATTAGTATGCGCAGGTCTAAGTGCACTTATCCCACGGAATTAATACTTTCATCAACGTGTTTAATCATGCATTTACGTCTTTACGCATCCTGCTTCTCATTATTTCGAAACACATTACATCTTTGCAAATTGCGGGGATACCAGAAAAAAAACCGCTATACAAACAATGACACATTCAGCATAGGATCTGTTATCGCACCTATCTCACCTGATCAGTGCTTTACGTTTATGTATTTAGTCCTATTCTGATGCAGTTTTATACAACTCTTCTCATTACTCCCGAAACAGATTGCTTCTTTGTAATTGGAGGAAACAAATGGTCCGATGGCAACACACGCATTTGGAAATTTGCTACGAGGACACGCCGATGGACTGAATGTGCGCCGCTCCCGGAGTGGCGGGAGCACCATACAGCAGTCGCCGTCGCAGTTGGTGAGGAAACCGTCATCTGTGTCTGTGGAGGCACATACTTGAACTGCGGCTCCTACACCTCTCACGCAAGTGCTCTCTATTCACCCACTGAAGACAAGTGAGCATTTGCGATGTTGCAAATATCTGCTAAATTGCACAAAAATTGTATGCGTTGATAGCGACGTGGACATTTTTAAAGCTAGAATCTGTCGTGTTCCCACCCCAAAGCCAGGGCACCATACCCGGCGTAAGAATTTATTTAAATGTCCGTGTCCTATCAGCTATCGGGCTCGGTTAATTACTTATCTTACCTATGTCCCGCTTCTGACGGGGTTCTTTTTAATATCACAGGTAAAATTAAAATTTGCAAAGAGAATTGTCTTCCACAACACCTTTACCATCGTAATAACGATACAAACGTTCTCGCGATTATAATGTTCCACTGCGATATTTCAGCATCCTACTTGACGTTTGTACCCAGTTGAAGAAATGTCTTTGATAGGTCTAGTGGTTATCTCAGAATTAAAATTTATTTTTAGAAATACTTTTTATAGCGTCTACAATGCGAAAGTGTTTGCTACCTACCACTGCAGCCTAGTGACTGTTACTGTATTTAAGTATAGTTTAAAATGTGTTACCGAATTGCAATCTGTGCTTAAGGAGTTTAATTTATCGGTAAGTCTTTGACTGCCGAAGTCCCAGTTCCCCCAGGACAACTTTT